TAAACCGCCGGAGCAGACAATCTAACTGATCATCCAGCATAGTTTCGTTCTTCGGAAAATCCTTGTGGACAGTGGAAACGAGTGATTTTGTGCCCAAAAAACGCGACCCATCCAAGTCGGGTTTTCTGCAGCAACGGCAGGCCGGCTGAGAGCTGAATTTGCTAAACACACAGCAATTCATAAAAAAGACTGGCTCCGCTAAGAAGATCGATGCGCTGTGGACGGACAAATTCAGGATCAGCCAAAGAACGATTGCTCGGAATATTCCAACTGGAGACATCCGAACTAAAACTAGGCTGCAGGTCCGTGATATTGTTCGCGATGACGGCGTTAGCCAGAGCAGTGGGACTGCAGGAGAACATTAACAAGGAATCCGTCTGTCCCAAAGACGGTATCGCAAATACCAGACACCGTCAATAATGTTTCGCGCCTCCGGAGCTGCAGCTGCCTAGCCATTCCTACATCGCTGCTCCGAAAATTTGGCCATTAACTCACAAGTAGGGATGCTATCTGAACTTGAGAAGTTTTGACTCTCCTCCCACTTAGCAAAGGTAGCTGGGTCCAACATTTGAAGCAGAACCTGAACGATGATGCAGCTGGCGATCTGATTTGACGAACCCAAATTCTTCAAGGGTCGCATATGGGCATTGAACTTGTCGGATAACCTTCGAAGACCTGTTATTGAGTTACCTACCAACAGACTGAAGCCCAGAATCTCGTTCACATGCGCTAGAATCTCGTTCATAATTTAGCACAACATCATAATTCTCGTCGGAGATTTTCAAGAAACTAACTGCTTCGAAAGCGGACTCCCGAAGGCAAGATCGCAACCTTTGCAGCTTTTCCACCTTACTAATACGAGGATTGCTGCCGACGATTGTAGAGAAAATCAATTATAACTCAGCATATTCCAAGTATTCACCGCAGAAGGTAAACGCTTGAAGACTTTGACTTAACCCTGGGTCAGCCTGCATGGTAAAACAATTCAATAAGAGCGAAGGGTCGTCTTGGGCTCGATTTCGCCATGCATCGTCGCTACGAGCTACGAAACAGTCTATCAGAGGTCACTACTGATCTGAGAAATGTCCAAATCCTCAAGCTCTCGTGGATGGCCTGGAAGTCACTGAACGTGGTGAGTATCTGGCTATGTCGGACGTGGAGCATGGCATCATCCACCTTGAAAACAGGCTGAAGAGCTCCTTGGATCATCTATAAGTCCTGGAGAATACCCAGGACCTTGCACTTTAAAATAGTTTTACGGGTTGGAGTGGGTGCTCCTGTGACTGCGCCGCTGGAGTTCATGATTGATTATATTAAGTTCCGACCAACCCGACGTAAATAATTCCGGCTCAAAAATTGTATCGCTCATAAATTTATTTTCTCGCGGCGAACCCTATCTGTCCCACTGTTCGCTCAGAACCAGAGCGGAATTGTGGAACGTATATATGTATGAAGTTGTATGCGGGCGAACTCCCTTGCGTTGTGGAACGTATATATGTATGAAATCTATGCGAGGGCGAATGCATTTGAGTTGTGGAACGAAAGAATGTATATGCACTGGCGATTTTTCGTTAATGTTTATGCCTATGTATAATATATTAAATTTTATAATTCGTTTATTATTATGTACAAACGAAAATTGTTCACAAAAGACTGTATATGAAATGTTTGTTTCACACCACATGTGGTTTCGCGGGTCTTGTTTGACCTTAGTTATTTTTTAAATATATTAACTATCACGTCGGGGATGACCAATGTTTGGTCATTAAAATTTTTTAATGCCAGTAAATAAAAAGTCAAAATTTATTTAATTTTAAACGTTATAAAAATCTCTATTTGGCCGCATTTGAAATTGGAATTACACAATGGAAAGCCAATTTAGGGTGCGAGCGCCCGTTATAAGATAATAAGCTAAATGGATGCTCGCTTGAGATGCCGAACAAGTTGAAGACGAGCGGTCGAAAAGAAAATTAAAAGAAGATAATAAGACAACTAATAAGAAAGCTTAGATGGCTTAAAATAGCTGTGTCGTTGGCGAAAATGGATATTGGTCGCGAGTTGTTAGGTACATATATCTGTAATAGGAGCTTACTCTTGTAGGTGGGACCATCAAGCTACTCTCTCCCAATTGCCTAAAAGACGTCAAGGATGATAAATAGAAAGGTTTTCTTCTACTGATGGAAGGCCGTTTTGATGTGATTTAATTCCGTAATTCCGTCTATAGTGATTTAATTGACTTGTTTAATGCGTCCTCCGATGCTCGAGGTCGTTAGTACACTTAGTGGATATAGTTTATGTTTTTCTTTAGAATCGAATTGGTGAAAAATATGCTTCCAATGAACATGCAAAAGCTCCAAGAGTGTTATCTTTAGACAAAAAATTTAAAATGTAATTTTATGTCCGACGACCATATGATTGGGGCTGGAGTCCTACACCTGGCCAAGCTGGAGTTTTACTCCCTTATAAGCATCAACCGTTGTCCAGCCGTCTTTTCAAGGTAAAAAAATGGCTACCCTATTGGGAAATAAAGTAAAAAAACAACAGTTACTTTACTGTTAACTAACAAGTTAATCATGATAGAAGTCTCACTTGTCGCCGCTCCATCGAGGCCAAAAGAATGCTGTTTAAACTAAGAGTTCAGTCGTGCCGTTTTTCTAACCACAAAGTCCTCTTGAAAAGTTGCGTTGGGGCGTCCCCAGCGTTGGGGAAATTTCAAAAACAACATTTACACAGTCCAAAAAGCCTAGTAAAAAATACTGAGAACAATCAACGGCATAGCGTGGTATTTCAAAAAACAAAAAAAAAAATTCCAAGAAACGTAAAAGCGAAGCATAAAAAAAAAAAATTAAGCTCTTTTCTCATCCCTACCATCTCGTTCGTGAGTAAACGCTACAGCTTCGCAACTATGTTACCATTGTTAATCAATATTTAGTGATAATATTTGTAACATTTTTGTTAATAATCGAACACGAAGTCAGTTGTCTCACTTATGTGGGACAACCGAATATTTGTACTTTACTTACTTATGAAAAAATTATTCAATTGATCAGAATTGATCAATTTTTTCATCGGTTCATAAGGTTCCTACCGTGTTTAGTGTTTAGTATTTTCATTAAAGTAAGGTAAAACATGAGAGGAAAAGCTATAAAGCACTTTCAATAGAGTGAACCGCATGGCTTTTCGACTCTGTAGCAGTAGCTTATTTCTGGTCGTTTCACAACCGTTCGCTACACAAGAGAAATTCCGACATAGCAACGAGTTTGACTATCTTGGCACTCACCTAGAGAGGAGGATTACCTAAAAACTAAAGGCTAACAATCCCCACTGACTCATAAATTACCACTCAACACTTACCAATATAATATATAGTTCTCCTTTACAGACAGACATACGCTGGCCGGATGACGTATGGCTCGAATCGCGGGTATAAATCCGAGATTAAAGAAAAGTGTAGAAGATTACAAGGAAAAGTTTTACTCAGGTAAAACGTTAAAAATAGTAAATTTGGAATTAGACCAAAGCCAAGTTATGTAGTAGAGACAATTGTAGTCCATACATACTTGTAATACTCTAAGTGATCATGCTAAGTATGTGTCAATCTACAACGGCTAAGGAGTAGAGGACACAAGTTTCTACTCCTTTTACTAGGAAAAATCCATTTAGAGCATGTTTGTAGATGCATTACTATTAACAAGGCTCTAAGGCTGTAATAAGGCGGTCAGCAGCAGCTGCCTGCAAACTACGTTTACTAATTATGTATTGGTATGTACAAATTCCCTTAGGGTCCCCTTTGGTCTCAAGCAGTCTTTTTAAGGCCGGTCGACTTCAACGAGCCTATCTTTAGAAAGCTTTAGCTCTGCAACTTCTAGTTGGGCGGCCCCCCCTTAGTTATCGAGAGACTTAGATTCCCAATATCAAGTCGGGCCGTACGAACATACATTCTGTACATGCAGTGACACCCTTTAGCACCTTAAATTTGTTTTGGATCTTCGAGTTTCATCTGCCCGCCAAATAAATAACTTATTGCGTCTGTAAAAAACTCATTTTTGACTTTTTTTTTGATTGGACTAATGTCATTAAAAAATCTCAATGATCAAACAAGGGGTGTGTATGACACGACAACCAGCATCGTTCTACAAGAATGAGCTTATTTAAAAGGAGTAAGTGGTTAACAGAGTCAAATGTTTTTCTTAAGTCAGTGAAAATTTCATCTGTTTGTAAGTCACTCCGAAATATATCCATGACAAAAGAAGTTAGTTTCAACAAGTTGGTAAACTGAGAGTCAAGTGCATAAAATTTATCATTTAAATTCGCTCATAGTTTGTCTTATTAACGATAAAATTTTTTTTTTGAAAGCTCGACAATAAAAGCAACAATAGTTGCGAGCGTTGCGTTGTGAGAAAGCAGAGATTACGTGGAACATAACGGTTCTCGGGGCGGACGCGCAGCCGTGTTTAAAAAAAAAGCGTCGGGGTTAGCATCAATGAAGAAGCAAGGAGTGGAGGCAACGCAAAGTGAACGGGCCCTCAAAGTCCACATAGCAACAGCAGAAGTCCGTGGCCGAGAGGGGCGAGGAGGCACGGATGGCGACCAGTCATTGGGAAAGTGGCTTGATCTTGGATGGCGGGAGCAGAATCCAGGAGGATTAACGGGCACTCCAAGCCGTTTTTAAGGAGGCCCATTGGAGCGAATCGGGTCGAGTCTTTTTAAGGAAGCTTATAGCGTTGAGTTGGAGGTCCCTTTGAAGAGTCCTAAATTCAAGTGTTAGAGCGTTTCTTTAAAGGACCCGCTGGTTTGAGTTGAAGGACCGCTTCTAGAGAGTCCATTACAGCACACGCGGAGCGATACGGTTTTGTTTATGAAGTGCAAAGCTTATTTAACTTCAATATCATGTTGGCAAACACCGATTTACAGCAAAATGTAGATAAAAACGTAATGCGAAAAAATAACATGACAGGTTCGCTTAAAGAAGTGAAAAACTCGTAGATGTTAGTCGGAGATTATTTGGTCAGCCCAAAAATACCTTTAAATTATGGGATAATAACTCTTATAAAACTCTGATTGATATTTTAAATACTCTCTTACCCATTCTTCGACGCTCAAATTCTTTAAATGTTTTTATCTTCTTCTTAGCTCTTTTGCCCCAGTAAGTATAGTTTACAGCTGCGTATTCAAGAAGAGCTGCAAAGACAAATACGAAACACATGACAAGGTAAATGTCAATAGCCTTCACATAGGATATACGAGGCAAAGAGCTACGAACTCCTGTACTGATTGTAGTCATGGTTAACACAGTCGTAATTCCTAGAGCAACTCTTGCACTTGTGGCTTCATGATTAATCCAAAATGAGACCCACGAAAGCATCACGATCAAAATGCTAGGAAGATAGGTCTGAAAAACAAAATATCCAATATTTCTTTGCAATTTAAATGAAAGCGAAAGTCGTTGGTATATTCCAGTGGCCAATCGTTCTTTACGATCATTTGTTTCATAACCAATAATAGTAAACTGAGGCAAATCCGCATCCTCTACACCTCTCACTGGCATTGGTTTCCAATACATTACAACATCGCTTACTGTATATCCATCTGTAAATAAAAAAGGATAATTATTTTGTGATTTAAGTGAACAGCAATGAAATTTATATCATTTGCTATCAAGCTTCAAAAGTTTAGACTTCAGCTTAAAAATTTTAAAGTACAGAAGTTCAGAGGGTTAACTATACAAATAAATAAAAAAAATCAAATTCGATAGTGATAAGAAAATTAGTGCAATGTTCAATAGCCCAAATTTATTGTTAAAATTATTTTCTTTTATTAAAAATAAGAAATAACAAGAAAGGCAAGCTAACTTCGGACGGAGCCGAAGTTGATATACCCTTGAAGTTAAAACCGGAGAAAATATAATCAGTACTAAGTTCCAGCTTTCTACATTCAAAAATACAAAAGTTGGGTCATTTCCGATCGTTCAGATATGGCTGCTATAGGATATAGTCAGCTGATCCTTATGAAATTTGGTAGGTTGAATCAACTGACCAAAATTATAATCTGTACTAAGTTCCAGCTTTCTTAATTAAAAAACACACAAGTTGTCCGATCGTTCAGTTATATGGCAGCTATAGGATATAGTCGGCCGATCCTTATTAAATTTGGCATGTCGTATTTTTTAAGTAGCATTCATAAAAAATGAACTCTCTAACTTTAAAAACACCAAAGATATACCATTTCTGATCAGTCAGTTATATGAAAGCTATAGGATAAAGTCGGCCGATCCCGGCCGTTTCGACTTATATACTGCGTGCAAAGGAAATGAACATGCTTATATCAACTCAGGAGGTGATCCTGATCAAGAATATATACACTTTAAAGGGTCGGAGATGTCTTCTTCACTGCGTTGCACACTTTTGGACAAAATTATAATACCCTCTGCAAGGGTATACAAAAAATTCTAACTTAACACGGTTAAGTTCGGGTGTTAAAAATATTGAAACACGGTTTTGTGTTATATTCAACCAAATAAACAATTCCTACTGTGGGAGTCGGCAATGAGCGCTGATGTCACAAATGAGAAAACCGATTCTGACAAAGAGAGTGCGAATGGGGCGACCAAGATGGGGCAAGTAGTCCATGAGAAACTGTGCAGATCGGCAGTCGATAACATTATAGGTGTTTATCAATAAAATAAGTCCTTAACCGACTTGAATAAAAGTCTTGAATATTGTGGATACCTGGGGATATTAGGGAGAGTTAAAACTGTTCAAGCCGAGAAAAAAAGTAATGAAAAAGAGAAAAAAAGGCTGTGCCAAAGAGTAAAATCTCGGCAAGCTGGAAGAAGAGCCGAGGAGTTTAATCTTGAGCAAGCCAAACATGAGATTGACTGTAAATGAATACGAATCAAAACAAAATTATTAAGCGGCTGCGTTCAAACAAGCCACAATTATACTAAAATAAGATTTTTTCTGGTTTCAGAATGGTCAAAAATGGTTTAAAAACTTTTCTATGTGACTCCATCGAGAAGTCGGTGCTCCAAACACCAAAAGGTTATAGAGACCTCAAAAATCAAAATCAAAAAATCAAAAACCTTATTTTTGGAATCAATTTGGATACAGCTACCGGCTCGCTTTACCAACGTTATGAATTACATTGACGTTGTAATTATTTTCCTCGTATTCGAAGAAAAAGGTGTTTTACCGAAGGAACAAATATGCATTTGGAAAACATCCAAACCAAATATCATTTCGGATAAGGGGATCGAAGTGGATCCGGATAAAATAAATTTAATCAGGTTTCGAGACCCAGTCAACAAGGAAGATACTCGGAGTTTTTTGGCTTAGTGACAAACGTCGGAAAATTTTATTTCTTACCTGACAGATTACAGGGAGCCCCCAAAGACAATAATTGAAGAAGGACCCAAAATTCAACTAGGGCGAAGTCGAAAGAGATGCTTTTAAAAATTTAAAAGATCGGCTGGAAAGGGTACCAAATCTCGCATACTTTAACGCGCGAAATCGAACTCGGCTAATAGCAGATACGAGCCCAATAGCGCTTGGAGCGGTGCTGCTGCAGTTTCCAAAAGAAGGTGATCTCTTAATTATCTCATTCGCTAGTAAAGCTTTGTTGAGAAACTTTATTCTCAAACAGAAAAAGAGAGTCTAGCTCTGGTTTGGTCGGTTGAACAGTTTTTCTTTTACCAGGCAGGGCTCCACTTCGAACTCATGACGGACCACAAACAATTGGAGGCCATTTTCGACCGACATCGAAACCGTCAGCCGCAAAGAGAGATGGTTACTACGGCTGCAGTCCTATAAGTTTAAAGAGATCTATAAGGCGGGAAAAGATAACATATCTGACTTAATATGCCTGCTCTGTCAGGTATCTGACGACTCGGGTAACAGATATGTGGATTACGGCATACTACGAGTCATCGAAAACAGTATTCCCCAATCGATGACTATTTCCGAAATCGCCAAGCATTTAGCAAAAGACGAAGAACATTTCGATGCAATGGCCTGCCTGGAGTACGACTTTTGGAAACCAGGATCTTTAAAACTGATCTATCCATTTCGACTATCAGCTAAAGAGGCTCGCCTTTTGTGAGGTAACCGCATCGTAGTCCCGACATTACTTCGAATCCGAGTAGTCGAGCTAGCCCATGAAGGACACCCGGGAGAGTCTGCTATTGTTTAAGAGAAGCCCCAAATAATAGGTCTTACTCCAATGAGTTCCGTTTGGACTCGGTTTTTATTTTGTAAAATTCTCTTTTAAGAAATATATGTACATGAAAATCTTAAATCTATTTAAAACTATTTATCAACGCACTGCAAGCTGACCCTTTCTCAAGTGCGATAAGCGCACCACTTATGTATTTGTGTTAGGCTGCAGGGGATCCGTTTTAGACCATGCTGTTTATCTCGTATATCCATGGGTCCGATTCCTTGAAACTCTATCTTTTGAATTTTATCTACAATTGTGTTCAATGCTTCAACATTCTGGAAAGGGCCAAAAAAAAGTGTACATTTGATGTTGTTATAGAAACTTTAGATTAACATATTATTTAACATCATCAATCTCTTTACATTAAACTTTACTCTCTATCTTCGATTTTTAAGTGAACTTGGATTTTTGAATTTTTTATAAAATTATTGGTTTTTATGTTTAATAACAATTATTAAACTTTTTCAGAAACTTTCTAGATATTATTATTTTTTTCCTTTTTAAATTTAAATACCATTTCAATCAAATGACTAAACATTCTGCAACGAACCAAAAAAAATTGATTTTAGTTTTTTGGTATACTAATGTCCTTTTTATACCCTTGCAGAGAGTATTATAATTTTTTTTTATAATATATATATTATAAAAGTGTGCAACGCAGTGCAGGAGACATCTCCGACCCTATAAAGTATATATATTCTTGATTAGAATCACCTCCTGAGTTGATATGAGCATGTCCGTCTGTCTGTCCGTCTGTCTGTTTCTACGCAAACTAGTCTCTCAGTTTTAACGCTATCGATTTGAATCTTTGCACACACCCAAGTCAGAACGACCCGGATCGGCCGACTATATCCTATAGCTGGCTATAACTGCTTGATCGGAAATGGTATAACTTCGGTGTTTTTAGAGTTAGAGAGTTCAAATTTTACATAAGAGCTATTTTTGGCAAAATAATACGACCCACCAAATTTTAAAGGATCGGCCGAATATACCTGGTATTCTATAGCTGCCATATAACTGAACGATCGGAAATGACCTAACTTTTGTGTTTTTGAAGATAGAAAGCTGTAACTTAGTACATATTCTGTTTTGGGTCAGTTGAACATAGGGAGGTGTTAACCGCAGGAATGCAGGAAGAAGGGATTATGCTAATAAGTTAATTATTGCATTTCCTTCATTTGTCTGTCCGCGGTTTGACACTTGTTGTTTTGGTGTCGCAAAATTGCGATAAGCAGTAGTTCAGTTTTTGTTTATTTCTTTTTCATATTCCTTTTCCACAGCCTAATCTCGAAAAAACAAATAATCTTTGGTTTCGCCTATATCACGCCTATATCATCTTGCTGGAACAATTTTATGATATTTAAAGAAAAAAATTTTGTTTACCTTAAAAAATTTCACATTTTTTTATATTTTTCATATTTATATTTGCAGTCGCGATCAATCACTCCCCGAGTTAAGACGTTTCAAAAAAATTCGCCCAAGCTGCACTAGCGCTAATGCCATAATTAACCATAATTATATATCGCAAACATCGGATATTTTGGCCGATCCTTATGGGAATATAAATATATAATTCAATTTATTACAATACAAAATCTAAAAAAAGTCCCAAACTTCTATTTTCAAATGTGTGAGGATGAAAAAATCGATTTAAAATAATGACAGAGATACAGCCCATAATCGAGAGCGCGCCTACACCGAAAAGTATGAGTTTCTCGGTAGCGTCTAAACTTTAAACGCGTTTTTCTCGGAACGACATTTTTGTGTGCGGTGCAGGTGATTCACAAAATTCTATGGTACCGATCAAGCTAAAATTTGAATATGTTGTTCTAAAAAGTAACACCTCTGTCCCGTACTAGAATCATTTATTTTTAATGATTAGTTTTTTTTATCATTAATTTAATATAATTTTTTTAAATTTAAAAACAATTTTTTTTGTGAGTTCGCCATTTTGTTGTTTATTGATGAAAATATTTCATTTTAGTACGGGACAGAGCCATAAGCTTACAAAACAATAATCTATTCCCTTTTTTTCTTCGGATGACTCTAGCAGTCGAAATCACCTGCGCCAGGGACCTACCTTTTCTTTTATATCCATACTTTGGCATGCTATAAAGTATAGTACGCTACACAAGAATAAATTAAACAAAATATTTTCAAATAGTTTATGATGCCTATAAAAACATATTTGAAAATTGAAACGATCGCATTATTTTTTATTACAAAAAAATTTTGTTGAAATAACCCTTAAAAAGTAGCCCGGAACATGAGACTACATCCTACAGCGACAGCACGCCAAAAAACGGAAATGAAGACGAAAATGAAGCACTGGATATGATAACTGAAGACACTTCAGATGAACCTGCCAAGCCACC